TTGGGATCTCGAACTTCTCTTAGGGATAAATTTAAAGAAATAGGTATAATGACTGTTGCCTCTCATTACATTTACAATTGTACATTGTTTGTGCGTCAGAACATAAATTTATATACGAGGCGCGATGATGTACATAATTTCAATACCAGAAATAAAGATATACTCAAATTGCCACCATTGAGACTCCAAAAGGTTCTTGGTTCATTTGTGGGTCAAGGTATATGTTACTATAATAAAATACCAAAAGAAATAATTAATTTACCTTTTAATAAGTTTAAAGTGTGTATAAAAACATGTCTCCTTAAGAAAGGTTACTATACTGTAAAAGATTTCATAAATGATAAGTCACCTTGGGCTTAACATAATAGACTGTCGTTTTACTTTGCTAATTTGGTTGAAAATTGTTTAATCGCCTCTTCTAAATTTAAAAATAGTACCTAGTTATACTTAACTTTTGTTAATTAATAATATTAATGTGATGGAAGTTGACATCAACACATGTATTCAATTTTTGATGTCATCTTTCAATTGACGACACTGTTTGAAACAAAACAGGGAGAAAAAAATAGCCCTTGCTGAGTTTCTTGCCGGTTCTTCTCATAGTACAGTCAATCTGTAGGTTGAGTGGTGAAAAAAAAACCTAAAGGGTAAGTCTTGTTTTTTCTGTTGCCAAATGACGTCAGTAAGCCACCTTGGCGATGGGCATGTTCAACTCGTAGGCGTTTTTTGAAAAACTCAAAAAAACTGTCAAAAATTTTTTGAAACGCATTTTTCTTGTTTTGTATGCATTTTAGAAACTTTTTTTTCGACCATAATTGTAGAGGGCGTTGAGTGCTACAATTTATGTCATTGTTGCAATCTCGTACAACAAAAAATGCGCATTGTAGGTGGCGCTAAAATCTCAAAAAAAGTGTTTTTTCACTTTTTCACCCTGAAAATATCATTTTAATAGAAAACTTTAAATGGCAAAGTTGTTTCGTACATAATTACCAACAACTTTTGTATAAACAATTTTTTTGTATTACTTACCGTTTTCAAGTTATAAATTGCGCAGAGGTATGAAAAATCCAATAGAGCGGTTTTGGGCAGTTCAAGTACACATTTGCAGTGCACATTTCAATGTACGTTTTTACTATTTTTTTTTCAATCATGAAAAAAAATAAAACTATTTTATTTTTTCATTTTTTTTTGTTTTTCAATCACGGAAAAAAATAAAAAATAGTAAAACGTACATTGAAACGTGCACTGCAAATGTGTACTTGAACTGCCCAAAACCGCTCTATTGGATTTTTCATACCTCTGCGCAATTTATAACTTGAAAACGGTAAGTAATACAAAAAAATTGTTTATACAAAAGTTGTTGGTAATTATGTACGAAACAACTTTGCCATTTAAAGTTTTCTATTAAAATGATATTTTCAGGGTGAAAAAGTGAAAAAACACTTTTTTTGAGACTTTAGCGCCACCTACAATGCGCATTTTTTGTTGTACGAGATTGCAACAATGACATAAATTGTAGCACTCAACGCCCTCTACAATTATGGTCGAAAAAAAAGTTTTTAAAATGCATACAAAATAAGAAAAATGCGTTTCAAAAAATTTTTGTCAGTTTTTTTGAGTTTTTCAAAAAACGCCTACGAGTTGAACATGCCCATCGCCAAGGTGGCTTACTGACGTCATTTGGCAACAGAAAAAACAAGACTTACCCTTTAGGTTTTTATTTCACTGAAACGATATTTTTTTCGACAGATTGACTGTACTATCAGTACAAGGTCTCCCGCCGTAGATTTACGAACCGATGGCGTAGCGTTTGACTTTCACAAGAGCTTGTAACAGCCTAGACTGAATAAATGAGTTTGAATTTTGAATTAGGCAATACGAAAGTCAGGTAATTGCCCGACTTGCATTCAGTCGGGCACTCTCTCGCCGCGGCTACACTTGTATTTTTACGTTTTTCCCAGATAAAAAGCCCAATATCTGGGAACTAGGTATTAGAGACAATAAAAACGTGTTACTTTATTCGTAAGTACAGATTATTTATTTTGACAGTTGCTGACACCGTTGACACATAGAGGCTAAAGAGCGAGATTTAATCTGCTTTATGAATGAGAGTGAAAGAGACCACTTTAACGCACTCTATTGGCAGCTGTTGCCAAGGGAAGTTGGGGCGGGGACTACTTGTGTCATTTTAAAATGCAATAATGTTAGCGTATATCCTGTCTATATATTACACGTCATTGGCTAGATGTTCAAATCTAAAGAAAAAATCGAATCGGTCTAAGTTTCAGACGGGAATCGAACCCGCATCGACGCGGTCTTCAAATTCTCGGTAGCATAGTTGATTAGTGCGTCCGTCTTGATAGCGGAAGATATGGGTTCATATAGTAGCTTCTATTCAAAAGACTGACGATTTGGACACGACCAAAAGTCAGGGCAGATTGTTGAATTCTTTTGATGTCCTAGACGTTCAACCCCACATAGAGGGTCAGGTATGGCGGGAGATCTTCTTCCGTCCTCCACTTGTAGTTTCCTTCGATTTCGTCGGCGTAAGTACGTCTTAACCTGTACCCCGATGTCAAAATCACCCACGCCAACGCGCCTCATACTCCTCCCACACAGGCCATAGACACCAACACTACACAGCTAGCAAACTTGTACATTAGCTTAGCATTAGTAGGGGGGTAGGAGAGGGACGGCGAGAACTACGCTCTCCCTCTCACTCCTGCGAGAGCCGCGAGTCTGTCCTGGGGGGGGGGGGGGGATAGGCTCGCATTGCACAAGCTCTCTAAATGCTGATGCCCCTGATGCTCCGGGGCATCTACATCGGGGTGGGTCCGTCCGCGGACATCATTTGGAGACGGGTTCCGCAACCACATCCGCCCCTAGGCACGCTCTAGGGGGACAGCGGTCCTCATAGTGCATGTCGGGTGACGGTGCAGGAGTATTGTCTGGTTTTTAGTGGCCCTGTTCAGGGCGTAGGTAGGGCCTTGTTCATTTAAGCGAGCTCCAGGGCTGGCTGAAGGGGACAGGGAGTAGTCCCACATACTTTCTTTTCGCTCCCCCAGTGGTTGAAGGATGCGTAAGGCATTTTCCAGAGACAAAAAAAAGGAAACACCCGTAGGATAAGAATGCGAAGATCCGGTTTACACACGACACGCTATACTAGGTACAGGTACAACGACTAACTAGAGCCCAGGTCCGAGTCACAGAGGCGCCCTCTAGTTGAGCCGACCCCCGCAGGTTCGAGTGGTTTAGAGGCTCCAGACGGTGAGGAGACTCCCCCCGTGGCGAGATGCCATCCGCCTGGAATACCTCTAGAGGCACTCGCCAATTCTCGGCTTGAGGTCCCTATAGGATCTCGCCGGCCTCAAACCCGGTGATGCTGTAAATGTCATCTGCGACCAACAGCATACACACACAAAAAAAGAGTAATTCTCAAAACCACCGTTTGGGCTCCTTTAAGGCTATGGTGGTAGTTCATCATGACGCAGGCCATGAGCATGTTTCTATTTATGTTTAAGTATGCATGCAATAACTGAAAAAAAATGTGTTCACAAATAAACTACCGGAATTCTTAACCCGAGACCTTTATTTGAACAGGCACAATCGCTGCCATATCATCTCATGATGACTGCATTGGTTATTTTTATGTTTATGCAGGCAAACGAGCTGACGTTCACCTGATGTTATGTGGTCACTTTCGCGCATGGACTCTTACAGCACCAGGTCATATAGTCAGTATTATGATTTTTTTATCAATGACATGACTGCTCAAGCTAGAACATGAAACCCATCTTATCAATTGACAAGAAGAAATATGTAGGTTTGTTAATAGAAATCGAATTTTGTCAGTTGGGCCTTTGATCGTGTAAGTTAAGCCACTATCGCAATGGTCGGCCATTGGAAGGATGACCAAAAACTTATTATGACGAGCTCCTCTGCTAATTAAGCCGTTGGTTCTGACTGCATATGCAGTCGTTAGCAGCCAATTTCCCTATTCCATCCATAGGGAAAGCCTGACTGGTGATAACTCAATAAAAATCCAACCAATTGGAAATCCATTAACATTCTCCGAATCTGATCTTTATCTCTTTTAATGGAAATAACGCAATAAAAAAATGTGTTTCAAATTGGAAGGAACACAGCAATCAAAATGTTGCTACTCCTATTAAATGCCAATGAGTTTCTCGTGCCTATTCTTCTCATCAGCTAAACGATGTCCGGAATGAGTGGTAGGAAAAAATATTGGACGATTCAAAAAATCTTTCAATAAGTCAATTTGAATAAAGTATGATTTCACTTGAAAGAATTGGCGAAAGAAACTCTACAACACTTCGTTACAACATTATAGAAATAACAGCGACACTTACAAAACGCTAAGGTCTTTATAGTACCAATGCACGTTTATAATAATATATTAATTACCATGAAAGCAATTAAATGAAAGTGAAGTTGATAAACCAGGTACTAGACCAGACTCATCTGTACTGGCAAAGTTATTGACAGCAAAATTAATTCGCAGTCTGTAATTTTTTTTTTTTATATTTATGGCTTGGATACTGGTCCTTTAGGCCTCGTCTTCGTATACCCAGCCTGTTAAAGATACAAGGTTTATGTGAAAAAAATACCTATTACTTCGCCGATAGTGTAGGTATTCCCTAAGTGGAATAAAATATAAGTATAGTAAGTTATAATAATAACACAAGTTGTGATTTCATGTTCAATATTTAGAAACTAAAATTTTATTGCTGAATTTATGAATTTGTTTTTTTCTGTTTGCTGCACAACTACTCTGAGGACGTAACTTAATTGTTACATTAGAAATATCGCACTGTGTTTGTTAAATTTATTAAGTAGAATAAAAATATAGCATTTGGTTGTATAGTAAGGGAGGAGTGTAATAAAATTAAGCTAACTTAACAGATATAATAGGAAAACCTGTAAGGAAGAGAACGTTTTTGAAATCGCGAGAAGCAAAGGAACCAATTTTAAATACTCACATAAGGTCTAATGTGTAGGCAGAAGAAAATCAATTATATACATCACTCACACCACAATTTACAATACACCACTGAAGCATACGAAAATTTATACAACATCTTTATATATTACGTCCCTTCGAAAGATCCCAGCATATTGTCCGCTTTCACATTTCACAATAACTCGATGCGGTGTCGCGCGTATTTTTCATTTTATTTTTTTAATTTTCTGGCTTTGTAACACGCGAACGGAATACGCCTTATATTTTTTTTTTCGTAATTTAGAATTTTTAGTTGTAGGTACTTTTTTTATGGAGCGCGAGTTGCTGGCTAGTTAAAACTGGGCGTTTGGGATAGCGGGTGGCGCGCGCATTCGGTGCGATCTTCGCGCCAATGCGCATGGATCTGTAGCCGACTTCGGGACGGTGGCGTGACCTAAATTTGGATACGCTGAATTATTTTGGAAATGGTAACGCGTTTGGTGCACGCACGTCCATATAACCGATATTATTAGAGGCGAATGATGCATTCAGTGCACTCGGAAACGACAGGTGTTAAAATTCTTACAAATGAGTTTCAGGGAATACTTTGCGACGCTTTTTTTTATTTAAAAGCGAAGTTCTGGCAGTCTTTATTTTATTTATTGTATCTGTATTGCAAAAAATTAGGTTCATATTCACTCGAGTGTTTAAATATGTATATTGCAATCATTTAATGTTTCAATGTATTTCTTTGAATTTGGTATGAAATTTTTGAAAAGTACAACACACGGTAATTCCATTTTACCACGGAGTAGCGAGAGATTGAGAGATTACAAGTTTTCGGTCACCGAAATCGCAAAGAAAACGAGGAAAAAGAAAAAAATCTACTTAGTGAAAGTTAATAGTTAAGGAGCTCGATAGCGCAGGTGGTTAGCGCGTTCGGCTGCGATCGTTAAACTTAAGCAACTTTCGCAGTGGTCGGTCATTGGATGGGTGACCAAAAATCTTCTATCTCGAGTTCCTCCGTGCTTCGGAAGGCACGTTAAGCCGTTGGTCCCGGCTGTATCTGCAGTCGTTAGCACTCATCAATCCGCACTGGGCCCGCCTGGTGGGTCATGGCCCAATCTCCCTATTCCATCCAGGAAAGGCCTGTGCCCCACCAGTGTGGACATTAATAGGCTAATGATGAATAATTAATTACCTTTTCCGAGTCCTTTACGAAACAGCCTGCGCAGACAAGGGACTTTCGTCCGCGGAGGACTTTTGCCCGCCGTAATAGATCGCTTACTTCTGCATCGAGTACAGCACATGTCGGATTAAAAATACCGCGAACGAACAGTCCCCCAAACTATACTCACGGGTCGCGGCTACTTCAACAAACACCTTTGTAATATAGGTATTTCTGACAGCCCTCTGTGCAGAACCTGGAAGAAATTGCTTCTCAGCGATAAGGGCGCCGTTTGTACTATTATGTAATAGTTTTAATTAATTGTAATTTAAAATATCATGGTGTACAATAAAGTGATCATTCATTCATTCATTCATTCTATCATTCATTCATTCATTCACTCATTCATTCATTCATTCATTCAGAACCTGTCTGGAGGAAGAGGAGACGAGTGCCGCCCATGTTTTGCTGGAGTGCAGAGGCGTTGCAAGACAAAGGACTTCTGTAATGGGAAGCCCACGGACTCTAGTAGAAGCCTGCAGCAGTGTGTTCCAGGTCCGATTTTCAAAAATCGGGAGTCGTTATAGAAAAAAACAGTAGATGTATGGAAAGAGCTAACAGTAGATGCGGAGGCGTACTTTTTCCGATTTGCTCTGATCCTAGAATTGGTAAATCAAATCAAGATAAAGACCAATAACGTCTATTTTTTTTTAAAACAATTACATTTATTTTATTTTACATTATTAAGGTTATCTACATTATTAATGACGGAAAATGCAACTCACCATGCAATTTAAAAAAGCAAATCGTATTCTAAAGAAACATAAGATTAATGTAGGAAAACAGTAGAACAGGAGAAATTTCAGAAAAACAGGAGATCTCCTGTAAAATCTGGAGACCTGGCAACATTGGCCTGCAGCAACATTCGGAAACTGCTGGGCTTTCTGGAGCAGCTGGGATGGCAGGATTGATGCCAATCCCCACGCGAATTAGGCACACGGTGTCGAGTTGCGGAAACCGCTCACCGTACTACTAAGAACTAAGGATAAAGGTCCCCCGAACTGCCGCGAAGACTGCGAGACCAGGCTCTACTCTCTTTCTCCGAAACGAAATTTCGGTAACGAACGAATTTTAAACGAAATTTCGCCAATAACTCTACTCTATTCACATAAAGTTCGGAATCACAGACAATTTTCGAATGGAATGAGTCATGTTTGTGAGTTCTTTTATCTCCACTTTTTAGATTACCTGTTTTACTTGGAAACAATATTACTTTACAACAACCTTCTTTGGCAGTGTTAGCTGACTAATTTGTAGAGTTGATGCACTTCATTAAATGTCAACCTAAATTTGTCGTTTAATACTTTGAATTATTAGAAATACCTTAATTAATTAAATTTGGTGTATTTGTTAATTTGACATGCTAAAAAATGTTCCTCATGCAAAGCAGCCTTGATTAAAAATACTGTAGCAGTCATTTTAGGCTTAATTTAAACAAAAGTTCGAAAACGAAAATGAAAAGGTAACACTTTTCATTTCGTCAATTTGAGGTTAAAATTTTGAACAATTATCTGTCAAATTCAACTTTTCGTTTGAAAGTTTTGTGAATTAGAGTAGGCTTGGAGAATTTACTTGTGAAACTATTTTCGGACGAACGAATTTTCGAAATGAAAAGGAAACAGAGTAAGAAATTTGCGAAATTTAATTTTTCGTTGAAATAGAGTAGGCCTCCAGACAGGACAAAATTACGCGAGAGTCCGCGTAAAAAATGCAATATATATGACATGAGGCGGTAACGCACATGGCGGAGTTTAGTCGATACTAATGTAAGTACGTGGTAAAGAAGTGGGCAAAAGAACTCCTTTATAAGATACACCAAGATATGTACACCCACATAACTTTTTAAAAATTGCACTAAATTGGATACTTCCTTTTATTGTGTTCATTATTGTCAGGGCAAAGGCTGGATGTAAAAAAAACACGACGGGTTGCACTCCGGGAGTGCCGGCAGAAGTGAAAACTTGAATATTAACGTTGTGCATTTTCGATATTTTGGAACACACGAATTGCTTTAATTATCAGTATAAAAGTACTATCATGTATGTGGTAGAATACAATATTCATTTATTGCGCTATCGTACACAAACATGACAATTTATATTACATTAAAAAAGTTTATCTCTCAGAAAAATCAACTTACATGAATCACGTTTAAGCGCACTTAGCGACATCTATTGTAAAAAAATGCATTTTCTTCGCAATAAAGCTGCCACGTGGACGTCCTAGATAGAGCCTTATTATTATAATACGGTAAAATAAAATATTACTGTTTGTCCAATATATTGAAAGTCAAGAACCTTTCCAATTTTATTGTGTGTCATGATGCGATCAGCCCACGTGTTTAACCTGACGCGAGTTTAACATCTTTTACCCATACAAAAAAAGTGTACAACGCCGCTAAAGAAGTTTTCACTTCAACAAAGTTCTTTTAAACCTTATAACTAATATGAAAAGGCTTTTATAAAAGGGCTGCATATTTAGAAATAGAATTTTTATTTTCATTTTTTTACTGTTATACGCAACAAAATTACAAATATCCACTAATGACACTAATAAATATAGCGTATGAAAGTGTATAAAAACTTTGTCAAATAGCCTATTATGTTGTGGTATGTTTTCTTTACTACGAATGTGCTACGACGTAGCACGTAGCTTCTACGAGACCCAACAGAGAATAATTATTCTCCGCAAATACATTGAGACCCATGAGAGAATAATACCGCAATTACATTTGGTCGTGAGCCCGTTTCGGGTGCACGAAAGACATTACTCGAATTCGGGCACCCGAAGCTAATTTTCACTGGAATACAGGTTAGAAGACAGTAACGTGGAGAGTCACCAGGATCCCACGAAACCCGTTCCGGCAGGCGAGGAAACACTGTTGGGTTTTTAGTGTGTAGCTGTAGTGACTGCCTAGCTTGTTACCTAGCTAGCTGTCTAGCTAGTTACCTAGCTGGCTGCCTAGCTAGTTACCTAGCTGAATGCCTAACTAGCTGCCTAACTAGATGCCTAGCTAGCTGCCTAACTAGATGCCTAGTTAGTTACCTAGCTGGATGCCTAGCTAGCTGCCTAACTAGATGCCTAGCTAGCTGCCTAACTAGATGCCTAGCTAGTTGCCTATTTAGTTACCTAGCTGGCTGCCTAGCTCGTTACCTAGCTAGCTGTCTAGCTAGTTACCTAGCTGGATGACTAGCTAGTTACCTAGCTGGATGCCTAGCTAGCTGCCTAGCTGGATGCTTAGCTAGCTGCCTAACTAGATGCCTAGTTAGTTGCCTAGCTAGATGCCTAGCTAGTTACCTAACTAGATGCCTAGCTAGCTGCCTAACTAGCTGCCTAGCTGGATGCCAAGCTGACTGCCTAGCTTGCTATCTAACTGGCTGCCTAGTTTGTTACCTAGTTTACCATCAGGCAAGCTGATTTGCTTTCCCTTCTTCAGGAAAATAAAACAATATAACAATATATCGAGATAGCTTGAAGTTTAATTTCATGTGTTCATAAACTTTTAAAATTCCCATTGCACAGCAGCTTTAGCGAGGTCGGGGCTTGATTCCTAAATTATTCAAAGAGCTCATACATTCATACACAATTTGGTGAATGCGTTTGAAGCCGGGTTGAAACTAACATCGTTCTTATTACTAGGGCATAAGAGTTACGTCCGTAGTTTCAGTATAACAACTGATATGGTGTCTTTTTGCCGCGGTATTTCTTAGCTGAGAAGCTAGCACTATTAAACTTTTTTGAATTATATAAAAACCGTCTTCTATACTTATAATAAATCTGTAGAGAGGTCAATTCTGTACATGAAATATATTTTCAAAATAACTATCAGGGGGTGATTAGTGATCGATACTGATGCCAAAAATGCAATCAGTAAAATTTTTGTCTGTCTGTCTGTCTGTGTGTATGTTCCTTATAGAAACAAAAACTACTCAACGGATTTTAACGAAACTTGGTACAATTATTCTTCATACTCCTGGGCAGGTTATATTATACTTTTCATCACGCTACAATCAATAGGAGCAGAGTAGTGAAGGGAAATGTTGGGAAAACGGGAGAAGTTACTCCATTTTTTAAGCTTCCGTCGCGTGCGCAGCCTTAATGGTTAAAGTAACATAGAAATCATGTATGACGGAAATATTCTACATAAAATTGTCTAAAAAATATCCCGCAACAGCATATGTCTATCTTTTATGGTTTACTCACAATAATACGTGTAACTCCTGATAGCTTAGCAGTTCGGAGCATTCTGATTATATTTGTTTACTCTTACGTTTATAATACTCT